CGGGGCCATAAATATGGTCCCATGATAGTGGACGGTCCCCTTATTTTCATTTCAAGTGAAATATCAGATAAAACAGTGAAATGTCTGGAAATATACTATAAACAAATCCATTACTTCCCCATTTCTTATACCTATCACTTGGGTGAGCTGCTTCTTAGGCCAAAGTCTTATCGAATTCACGAAGAATGACTGTATTAGAGACAGTGGGCACGATTGCTGGGGCGGGTGGTTGTCGCCAACGTCATAGGTGAAGGGCTAAGTGGGGTGTAGCCAAACGCCCTCTCGCAGCCCTTCCACCAATGACGTCGGCGACAGCCACTCGCCCCAGCACTAGCGCCCATTTCCCTTTATATCACATGTACTGTTCTGATCGATCTTTTCACTTTATCCTGCGATCGAGCGCACATTCCATTCCATTCAAATCTGCGAAGAAGTCGTAGGAGGCTAATGGTTGTTATGTTCTTCCCATACACGCGCTCATCCTCACTATCGTGTTGAAAGGAGGGCCACACCAGTGAAGGAAAAGCAATGGCTATGAGCTTTTATCCTTTTCTCTGTCCAATCGGTGATCGCGGAATGTTTCTATTAAGGGGCTGACATCACATAGTTCTCACCTTCTTTGACGCCTTTGCTGGAGCACTCCATAAACTGATTAGCCGCTGCTTTTTTCCAAGCCAACATATGCCACTATCTAGCGGATTCCGTGCTCGAACAATCAATTTTAGCTGGAATATTCTACTTAAAATTAACTGCAAATTGTAGATCATGGTCATTTTCAACAAAACAAAAGAAGATATGCACTTACTCCCATGTCACGGCATACCCGACTCACGGCACCAAAGCCAAATGTTGCAGAGCCGTTCTCTGAAATGAAAAGGCTAAAGGAGGGAACTTTTGGGATGCGGCATGCATTCTGCTCCCGTTCAGAGTCGTAGCGGCCTACAGAGTGCGACATGGCCCAAACAATGACTTTCGGAGGCTAGCCAGTGTATAAATCAGTGATTCTACCATCCCAGATTGATCTGGTAGCAAATTACCGTCCCTAGAAGGTTTGCTTGTGCCGGGCCCGCCCGGAATTCAAATCCCATAGTAGTTTGGGCCACTGGCCGTTACACCACCTCGGTCATTCTCCGCCTCCCCATCGCCATTCTTGCCTTCTGAGCGTACCTGGTCCTAGAAAATCTACATTTAGCCCAACCACCTAGGAGTCACAATTGTGAAATGTGTTTTCCAGACCTTTTTCCACTGCATTGAAAACATCTAGCATTTCTTGTGAAACCACGGATTCGATGCTTCATTTACCTGTAGCTCTTCCGATACATATCGATTCGAACTGTCGGTTCGCTAAAAATAAGATCCTTGGCCAGTGTAGGCATGTCGGCTAGGGTGAACGGTCGTTTTACTGCTTCAATGCACTCATAATTCGACAGCTGAAAGGACAGCAGATTAAAATTGATAAACTGGGTGCTGCTTCCTAATAGAGAAGGGGAAAACACATTGGAGAAAAACTGGAACAAGACAAGAAAAGAAACAGGATTCGTCTCGCTCTCAACTTGAAACACTCACTATAGTTTAAAGGGTTGGCACTGTAAATCCCTAACATAAGACGAGTGGGATTAATACGCCTGGCAGACGGAATCCCGCCCCCTGAGCAGGCGCTGCGTAGCGCCTTTTCAAGGAAGGTACCCTTATAAGGCCCTATCAAGCTGCAACATACCGACCCGACGCCCACCGCCCGCCCGCCCACAAATGGACGACCGTACCTGATGCTCGTATTGCTTCATTTGCTAAGTAAAATATGAAGCGAAGGGATTGATATGAAGCGGCCGCGGTGCTGCATGGATATATGAGTACATACATGCAGCCGTATCTACCGTAGCGGTTATTGGCAAGATGCCTACGGGAAACTCGTCCAAAATTGCTTTTTGAGTCATTAAGAACGAAGGCTTTTCTTCGCAGGTTTTTGACCGTTTCACTTCGTTTTTTCGCCATTTTCTCACTATATAGCGCCCTGCTAGTATTTAGACCGAGTATCAAATTATCGTGTCATATACCTTTAGGCCTGTGTAGTCTGGTGCATTCCACTCAAAGCATGGAGGAGGGCGTATTGGGGGAGAGGGTGTATTTGCCTTTGTGGAAAATCCTTTTGGCTGTCGACTTCCATCGTTTCACGTGCCCTACACATTCCCTCCCCCTCCCTTCGCCACCCCTACGATAGCAGTTCTCTGAGAAAGAACTCAAGGATTTTCGGAAATAACTCCAGAATCCAGGAAAACGGGTAGGCAAAATGAGTAGGAAACCAGAGGTGGAAAATTCATCGGGGAGAGTAGTATTATGTTGAAATTCCCATCAACGGCAGGACCTGCCCTGGTCTCAAATCCATCACTTCTCAACACCTCTGTTCTGTGACTACACTACACAGCGAGTTCATTGGTTGCCGATGCCAACATGTCGATTTCTCATACAAAATAACTTTGAAGTACCAACCGGCGATTCAAGACCTGGATAGCCTGAGTGGGAATTAGTTATGTGGAGGTGAGTTTAGCGCTTGGCGGCTGCTACCAGGATTCATAACATACAGAAAACTGGAGGGTTTTCGACGTTCCTTCGGAATCCTCTCGAAGTCCGACTGGCACAACTCGCTGCTTTAGGTCCTCCTTCTAGCTGACGGTTATAACGACATTACACATAGGTAGCCGTTTTGGTGCAGAGCAAGCGAGTTATGTAGAAGCACAACCAGTGAGCTTCTTACAATGATACCTTTTTGCCAGAGTTAACGGGGAAGGGATTCCAGACTCTATGATAGGAATCCCTAAACCAAAGCTCCTATCCCCTGGGTCTGAGCACAGAGTTCCTGAGTGGGAGAAGAACAGTGTTTTGAAGAATGTGATTCATAGTCGTTCTGTACCTCGTGTGAAAGACCACCGTACACGGCGAGAATCTGATTCGAAATCCGTGCCATTAGTGGGAGATTATTACACAATCGGGTTGCAGCGCTGAAATATTTTTATATCAAATTGAAGATTCTATAATCACCACGGAGGCTGTTGTTTATCTCGTTGTATGCAGAGTTACAGTTGTCATCCGGACAGTTGATTAGGCAGTCAAAGGGTCGCGGATGCGGCCGCGGCGCGTCACGACCGCGGCGATCAGCTGTTTCCAGCCTATTTAGCCATTTTCTCCCTGAGATTTACTGTATTATTTATTTTTCCCAAAGTAAGTTGTTTTTTGTTCTTATGAAGTATATTAGGAATTGTATTCCTCTTTTTTGCTTTTGTAATGAAGTGCCTTTTGCGATTTTTGAGGTATTTGTTTAATTGTTTGTTTAACCATTTAATTGTTGGCAAAAATTAGAGAACTCCTGACCATAATTTATCTTGTGAGGACAAGGAACAACCAGCCTTAAGAAGAGCAGCTAAAAACAGCAAAAATTAAGGAGAAATTGGCTAAATAAGCTGGAAACAGCCGATCGCCGTGTGACGCAGCGCAGGCCGCGTCTGCGACTTTTACTGCCTAATCAACTGCCGGATGACGACTGTATCTGTTGGTGTTATATCAACATCACTTACGACTGGAACGGCCGAGTCATTACGTCTGCGGAACCGAGGTTGAAATTGAATCGGCAGCATTTCACCCATTCCTCTGATGTAGAATACATCATGTGGGAAGCGTACCTGAACGCTGAGATAAGGTGGTAAGTTAAATTAGACGATTGGGCGTTAAGCACGACCCCTCCAATGCTACTCCTAGTTTGACTGCCCTCAAATCGTCTACTCTCTCAACTTCCCTTCCCTCCAATCTTACAGACCCATCGACGGATTGACTCGTTCGGCCCCTCTGAAAGCAATTCCCATCGCCCCAGCTGCTTAAAGGCAATTGGCACGATGGTTTCCCACTCGGCCTGAAATGCTAGTAGGGCGCTATGAAGTGGCGAAATGGCGAAACAACGGAGTAAAAGGTCAGAATTCGTGCATAAAGTAAAAAGCCTCCGTTCTCACTGGCTTGAAAATCGATTTCGCACGAGTTTCCGTAGGCATCTTACCGAAGATACGGCTGCATATGTGTACCCATATATGCATGCAGCATCACGGCCGCTTCATACCAATCCCTTTGCTTCATAATTTGCTCAGCAAATGAATGAATACGAGCGTCAGGAACGGTCGTCCGTTTTGGGGGCGGGCGAGGAAGGCGTTTGGGACGGAATGTTGTTGCGAGTAGGCGTTATAGGGGTATCCTGCGCTTGGAAAGGCGCCACGGAGTGCCTGTCCGAGTCACGGAAATTCTGTAAGAAATCCTAACATCTGTCTGACGAATTTATCGTTTGCCCAACTGCCTTTTGGAGTGTGATCACGGTTGAATATCTTTTATCGCATCGTGGCGCATGGTTGACATTGATCAGAAACGTGCAAGCTTGGAGAGTCAAAGAAATGGTGCTGAAGTTCTTGGCAGAAAGGGACTCCTACCTTCATAGGGCAAGAATGCACGCAAGACAATCAAGTGATCCTGGCTCTCAGAATCAATCACACTATGTACACGCGCCAAGAAACAGTATTTTTTGTCGAGGAGGAAAACCAGTAATGTAGAGCCATCGATGCAGATCTTGGTATCTGGAACAATATTCCCATTGTGAAGCAAGCACTGAGTAAGCAATCAAAATTATCATGAGAAAGAGAGCTCTGAAAAAAATGGCAGTGAGCCTCGCTGAAGGGGTAGATGGAAAAATTAAGTGATACGAGAATGGGGCAAAGAATTCGGTTCAGTGCATACGGTGAGCGTTCGGCGGCGGGTTGGGGAGGTCGGAGGGCGGTGGGGCTGTCATACAAGATCCCCAGAAGAGCAGAAAAATTGACGATTGTTGTGGGCCAAACTTTACTCAATGCAGCTTTCAGACTTCGCGTCGAAAGCGCCATCACGAAGTCTGAAGGATACTAGCGTACCCCTGACTCCGCTTCCCTCAGCGCAACCTTGTTCCACTCAGTGGCGTCTGAGCCGCTTCCACTCCTGCATTCTGGCACTATCGATCACCGACCCAGTTCAGGAAGGGAGGGAGGGGGGGGGGCATTTCACTTCCGACCCATCTAGATAGCCTTTTTGAGTTGACACGCGTCTTCGTCATGGCTAGACGAACCCACCCCACTTCAACAAGAGTTAACAAGCTTACTAGAGTGAAACTGAAAACTGGAATTGATGCCCCCCCCCCTCCGTCCCGAACGCGCCCAGTGCGCCGTATAGATTGGGAAATGGGGCCATATGCCATATGTTAGCTGTAGAAAGAGCTACCTTCCCGAAGGACCCTGTTGAGGGAACAGAGAAGGAACTTACTGTCCTCTTATATCTCCAATAATTGCAATAGGAGTTCTCAATGTCAGCATGGTGGCTTCTCCTTCGAAAATGTCCTGAAACTTTTGTGTGAATAGTGTGCAGCGAGCTCATTTTTGTTTATAAGTTTTGATTATGATAACATACAGCGGCTTGAGAAAGGAGCGAGACGAGTTCGAACGGCCTCCAGTCGTACATGTACGGACCATGCTCCATTAGCTGCGTGAGGATGTTAGTCTCGTAACTCATGAGGACCGTCCGCTCCACCTGAATTTGTATGGTTCCAAGCTAAAGGAGAAAATTCAGACCAGAGGTGAAGAACAGCCTTATTTGCAGAGCTGTGCTATTTCCTCACTACCTCGCCTACACCATCGTTACAACCAAACTATGTCAGAAACCAAAACACGAAAAATCGGCTGCTAGAGGTAGGGCAAATGCACTGCACGCTTCCATTTTGGGTGTGCTGGGGCACCTCTTGTTACGGGCGCGTTACTTATACGCAAGGTGGCTTGACGGCGCTTCGCCCATGTCATCGTTAGCGCAAGCTCTGATTTTACCCAGTGGTAAATTAGCACATCTCATTAAAAGGAGAAGTTTGAATTGATGTTAAAAATTGCGCGCGCAACCTGCACAGGCCTTAATACCTACCCTCGCCTTGACGAGTGAAGAGGCAAATGACTCCAAGCACAGACGTACCAACCTTAACCAACTTGTGACCGTATCCACCGGCAACGTGCTCGAACATTTTGTAGCTGGGAACCGCTGCTGGCTTTAAACTCTCACACTGTCTTCTGTAAGTAGTTGAAAAGTAAAACCACTAGTAAATTGACAGTAGGCTCATTGAGCCCAGTTTGACACGACTTTCAATCATTTTTCAGTGACTCATGGCTCATAAGAAAAATTTGAGACCTCATGCGAAGGTTCGCATGTTTTGTCAATTCACGGCTAAGAGGTCTCTGAAGCGACCAACGTCGGCCAGTTACAGGTTTTTGACCTTTTTGCTATAATCGGTAGGAACATTCATCGATTAATTAGATGGATGAAAGGCAAATTATTCGGCGTTGATCATTCTCGTCCTTGGGTTGCGCTTAGCATGTTTTTACCATTCAAGATCTTAAGGCTGCGTCCACACCTTGCAGCAGCGTCCACCAGCGTTTACCAGCGTGCTTTACCGTTCCGAACGTCCTGCAGCGTCAGTGACAAGAAAAGTGTACATATCAATCTGGCGTCTGACAGCATCTGCCAGCGTTCACTAGCGACAGGGAGTTAGAATATGGGGAAGTAGGAGGGTAGCAAAAAAGTTGAATTAGGCGTCGTGGAATTTGACTTCTCCCTGACCTTGCCACTGCCTAGACGGGTAGATAGAACCTAGCATAAGGCTAGATCACTTACTGTACCTAATATTTGGCTGGCCCCTCGAGTCACTTCCGGGCGCTCGGAACGCTAGTGGACGCTGGTGGACGCTGCTGCAATGTATGAACGCTGCCTCAACGGCATTCGGAAGTGACTTGATATAGAGTGTCACTTACAGGGTACGTCTGGTCAAATGGTCAGTGTTTCGACTAGCGAGTATCAGGCTCGCGTTGGACGATTGAAATACCTGTGGGTACAAGGGCTCAGCTGGTCCACAGGCACGTTATAGCGGCGAATAGAAATGCTCTACTATCGCTAGGTGGGAATGTGTAGGCACACCTAAGAAAGGATTGACCAGCGCGCAAATGCTCTACGCCGCTAATCATTTGCCGAGTTCAAATGATGTCATAATGCTGCGTCACTAACTTTGCGGCAGCGTCACCAGCGATGCATAGCGGCATAGCGTCAGCGATTATGAATAATATAGGATATCGATCTGGTGTCCTGCCAGCGTTGCTAGCGCGGCGCTCCAGCGTCTACCAGCGTCTGGGAAGATGAGAGTCACGGGGCGGTATGGGAAGGTAGCAGACAGCTGTAGCCTCTCTATTGGCGCCATACCTCTCTACCTACACTCGCTCCCGCTAGCCGCCTATCGCGCCATACTCTCCTCTCCCTGACGTTCGTACACGCTAGATTGATAACTATACTTTCCCTGCTCTCGAGAAGCTGGTGGACGCTAGGAGACGCTGGCGCTCGCTGGTAGACGCCAGAGGACGACGCTACTGGTCGCTAGTAGACGCTGCGGCAAAGTATTAACGCAGCCTTAAGGCGTATTCTACGCGATTGCATATCTCACACGTACCGTTCTCATTTCAGGAACTGTTGCCGATTCAAGTACGGACTTGTCCAGTGGTTGATAGAGAGCAGCGGTTTAGTTTTCGTTCTTCTTTCCTCTCTCCCAAAATTAGGCTTAAAAATGACAATTTCTTCTTTTGTCTACCTTGCTAGTATAGGTGAACAAAGCAACGATACAGCTCCTTGTCCAAATCCCCTAAATCGAGTTTAGAAGGCGCTAGACGTTCGAGTTGCAGAGAGATATGCATAAGGATAGAGAACAGTGGCTGCCCAAGCACAGAGTAGACAAGAAGGACTGGGCCCTTCACGAATCTAGTCGTCTGCGCATCGAGCCGAGGCCGTCGTTAAGGAAAATGATGCATAGAAGCTACCGCAGCAGTCACAGCCGACTTTACCCTCAGTTTGGAACGTAGGGTTGCATTCATACTTTGCGGCAGCGTCCACCAGCGAGCATTAGCGTCCACCAGCGCAAGTATGTCCAGCGTCTGCAAGCGTCCACCAGCGTTCGGGAGATGAGAGTATGGCGCGGCAGGAGGGTAGCAGACAGCTGGTATCTCCTATTGCGCCATACTCTCTACCTACAGTCTGCTACCCGCCTATCGCGCCATACTCTCCTCTCCCTGACGCTCGTACACGCTAGATGATAACTATACCCCTGCTCGTCCGAGAAGCTGTGACGCGGAAGAGACGCTGGCGCTCGCTGGTAGACGGTACGACGGCGACGCTAATGGTCTGCTAGTAGACGCTGCGGCAAAGTATTAACGCAGCCTTAAGGCGTATTCTACGCGATTGCATATCTCACACGTACCGTTCTCATTTCAGGAACTGTTGCCGATTCAAGTACTGACTTGTCCAGTGGTTGATAGAGAGCAGCGGTTAGTTTTTCGTTCTTCTTTTCTCTTCTCCCAAAATTAGGCTTAAAAATGACAATTTCTTCTTTTGTCTACCTTGCTAGTATAGGTGAACAAAGCAACGATACAGCTCCTTGTCAATCCCCCTAACTAGAGTTTAGAGCGCAGACGATCCGAGTTGCAGAGAGATAGTGCGTAAGGATAGAGAACAGTGGCTGCCCAAGCACAGAGTAGACAAGAAGGACTGGGCCCTTCACGAATCTAGTCGTCTGCGCATCGAGCCGAGGCCGTCGTTAAGGAAAATGATGCATAGAAGCTACCGCAGCCTCACAGCCGACGTTACCCTCACTTTGGAACGTAGGGTTGCGTTCATACTTTGCGGCAGCGTCCACCAGCGAGCATTAGCGTCCACCAGCGCTCCGAGCATCCGGCAGCGCAGCGACTAGGAAAGTATAGATATCGATTTAGCCGGGAGTTCAGCTGTCTGCTACCCTCAGATCTGGCCATTCTCTACCAGATGTCTGCTAGCCACCTATTGCGTCATACTGTCTACCAGGAGTCTGCTTCACCCTCCTAGCTTCCCATACTTTACCAGCTATTATCTGCCACCCTCCTACCGCGCCATACTCTCTACTCCCGGACGCTGCTCGACGCTGGTGGACGCTGGATCGATATCCATACTTTCCTAGTCGCTGACGCTGCGGATGCTCGGAACGCTGGAAGGACGCTTTCGCAAAATATGAACGCAGCCTAAATATCTCACGATATACAGTTGTTCCCACCACATGCCGCACACACTCGTGGGCGCGACAAACTTGGCGATTAGTGGCTAAAATGCCGCACGATTTTTCTTGCGTGAATTCATAGGCGCCATGCTTGGGACCATATGTACACCCAACTACTTTGACACTTACACTATAGGCCACATAGCTCCAAATGTCACCACCACCATCTCCGCATAGATTATAAAGTAGTCGAAATAGATCTGATCAATATTTTCCTGAACAGAATACTGTAGGCAGCCAAAGCTACTTTCTCCTTTGCTAATAAAATCAGTTGGATGTTCCAGCAGCCTAGCAGGACAGGATTGTACGTAGTGAGAGCACTGTTTGGCGATTTTCTTGCTCTCTCTGACAATAGTCGAGATAGATCTGATCAGCCTAGGAGGTGTTCAACTCCGACTTTCTGCTCAGATGCAGGCTTAGGTTCACGATGCCTTGATGACGTATATGACGCTTCAATCCGAAAAAAATACAAAAGAACTATCTATCTACACTCCTTATCCCTGAGCCAGAGTAGGCGTGGCATTTGAACATGGCACGGAACTGGTTACTCGTGGAATATTCCAGTCTGGGACAACTGTCATCTTGTTCGTACAACTTCATCGTGTTCTGTGCTGCAGAGACACGACAACAATTGTGTCAAGATGACAATATCTCACCAGAAGAAGCATGGACACCTTCAGGTTAAGTTGAAAAATGCGGCCACGCCTACCCGATCTCAGGGATTTCGAGTATACTTGCTTTCATATCCAAATACGAGCGGAGGTAGTTGCAAGTGGCACGCTTACCACGCGCGATACGGGGTCAAACCCCTGATCGGCTCCCGCCCAGGCCAACCAAGCCTTCTACCCTTTGAGGACGGTAAACTATACCAGGTTCGCCTTGAATATGAACATACGTCCTTGGCCGTACGTTCTGCACATCGGCTGGCCCAGCAAGTCATTGCATACGCCACATCGCACTCAATAATCCACTATGATTTGAATGGAGGTAGAATTCATGCCGCATCTTAAAAGGGGCGATCAACGACTTTATCACTCATGAGCCACGAAGTGCAAGGATACGAATGGGGGTAGCATCTCGGAGAAGCCCATCAGGGGTCGTACCTGGCCGCTACAGGGGCCGTATTTGGCCTTGAACATTTTTGAGGCGCTGTTTATCGACGGGGGGGGGGGCATTTTGTATTATAATTGCTTCCCTGGTTCCGGTTTACAAATCTCACTCTGGTAAAACTTGTGAACGCTTGTGAAGCTGGAGCAAGATCGTCTAGCCACCATCCTAAAACGTGTCAACTCGAAAAAAGGGTACCTAGATGGGTTGGCAAATCTATGAAAAGCAGAATGCCCCCGTCGATAAACAGCGCCCATTTTTGATTGTTACTTTCTATTTTCATGCGCCTTATGTCTACACATCGCTGGAAGTATCCCAATATGTGTAAGGGTGGGGTCGTAGTTATAAGTTTTTTTTGGTTGGCAGTGGGTTGTGTCCGGTTTTGACCTGATTACTCGAGCCGTGAAAATTTTTTTCAAGCCATGAAGTTTCGCGAATGATACTATTTGATTTGATCTTTAATCCAATCTTCAGGAAATGTGCGCGTGAGTCTTCTTCGCGGACAGCAGCAGTGATGACAGTTATAACTTTTCTTCTACACAAGACAGGGTGACGCTGTTCCATACAAACTTATTCCAAGAATGCATCCTACGCCATGACTAAATGAGGTACGCAGCCACTCCCACCCTATTTTCGGGATATGGATTGTTAAAAGACGACATTACATTTGAATCAATACAAAAGCACTATAAAAACCTACACGTTGATAGTGGAATCTGGGGCAGTAAAATCACCGCATCGTTTTTATTGCAGAAGTCTGTGCGGCAACAGTATTTCACGTAAATCCCAAATCT